CAGCACCCCAGGCGGAGGCACGCGGTCCGTCACGCTCCGGAGCCGCTCGGCTTATCTCAGCCGCGGGCTTTTACCGGCGATAACCGTGACTGGAGGCGCTCTCGGGCGCCCGAGTGCGCAAATGTGTACGTGTGACAAAGTGCAACCACTTAGGAACGCAATGGTCACATTGAGCAATCCACGCCTCGGAATACTCCCGCGCTGGTCTGCAGGCACACGCCCTTTTTCAAGAAAGGGGTACTTTTTCCTGGGGTGGAGGTGGGGAGGTTAATCCGGGTTAATCAAAACACAATAAAAATTGAACCCACGCATTACGCAGTTTGAGTCCACGCGCCGCTGTTGGTTACTGTTGGATTATGCGAGTGCCTGGTACCCTCGATGTGGATAACTCTTCGCCAGCCTCTCCGCGGAGGTGTCGGCTCGCCGGGCGCGGGCGCGTAATGCACCACTTCCTGGCGCTGGCGGCGGGAGCGGTGGCGCTCCCACGGAAAGGAGGGTGAAAGAAATGACGCCCTGCCCACGGTAAATTGGCGATGGCTGTGACTCGCCCGGTTAGCGACGTGACCGGCCGCTTCCGATGGGAAACCTCCGCCTGCAGCCTGCCTCCGCGACGACTCCGCGCCGCCGCCGGCCCCACCCCCGCCCCGGCGGCATCACATCCTGCTGCACGGGACCGACTGCGTGCCCGAGCTGGACGAGAAGGTCCTGACCACTTCTTACTCCCGTGCCATGAGGCCTTCACTTCGCTACCGACTTACACGCGTCAAAGGTCGCGGGTCGCCCGCACTATCATGACGTAAACTCCTTTGGGCGGCGCCGCGTCGGCGCCGCAGAAGCGCCGTAACTGTCGATGAGTGTCGGAGCAGCTGCGACGAGCGTGATCCGCCGGGGACCGGCGGGGAGCACCCGCGCTGCCCCCGCCCCGCGCTGCCCCCGCCCCGCGCCCCGAGAAGGATGCTCTGCCCTCTATAAACCCCGGTGTTACATTGTGTTTGGTTGTGCGAAAGGTTGGCGCGGCGGGCGCGGCGCGGGCTACGTTCTGTCGCTGTCGTAAAGCGGGTTGAGATCGTGTTGAGATAAGAATGGGCAGCGCCTTAAAATCCCCACAGCATGACTGAACTTCGACGTGATGCTCTAAGTTGTGGTTCAATTCTCCTGTCCAATTATTTAACACACCCGTCCGACGGTGACGCCACGTTACACGGATTACTCGCGCTGTAGAACGATTGTGGCTGCACAAGGAAAAATGTCTAGAAAAGTCTAGAAACCATTGTTTTGTATTACACAGAAAATGGAAGCATTAAAATACAAAAGTGAAATTTCAAAGCGCGCTTCATAATTACAAAGCATGTCTTTGTAGGCTGCAGCTTTTCGTTTTTGCCGTTTTTTCCCAAGTTTGTTAATGATCATTCACACATCTACGGTTGTGCACAGGTGTACAATTTTTTTCGTACACCTGGAGGAGTGTGTATTTTTTCTCTTTCCTGTATGTGTGTGACATTCGTACACTTGGATTTCCAAGTGTATATACAGCACCTGATCAAAACCAACCATTTCTATCTAAATCACAATCACTGTCCGAGCAATTTATCTGACGTGTTTTCTTTGCTATTGCTGCCAGGTGGAGCTATCGCTCTGGTGTTAGTGTGAGGCTTCTGCAGGGCCAATAGCACACATAGAGACAGTAGTGCCCTTTGTATTACCTCTCAGTTGACCTCTTACAGTTGAAGGGGTAGTTCGGCGTCACATGGGAGCGGCGCGAGTTCTTGCACCAAGGCCGGCCCGGCCGCTTACAACACATGATCTATGTACGCGACTTTGCGGTGAATGTCAAAATGGCGCTACGTTAAACTACTACTCGTCAGAGAAGTCGCCGCTTTTCATCGCTCACCCGTTTCTTAGTTCTCTTTTCATTAAGGTTTCATCTGGGACGCGACAAGATGGGCCGGGAACAGGCAGTGGGCACGTGCTCGGCCCGACACGACCGGCAGCCGCGGCGGTGCGGTGCGCGCCGCGCCAGGTCGCGGTCACCGTTACCATGACAACCGCCCCGCGGTGCCCAGCTTTCTTACAAACGCAAGGACCCCAAAATGCTGAAAATTAAAGTCGTTTTGTCAGACCCGGAAAGTCGAGAAGACGCGAGGGAAGGGACCCCACTGCGACGGCGTCGAGATCCCATTCCGAGCCACGTTACAAAACTTCTTAAAAAGGAAAGGTGGAAATTAAAATTCGAGGCCCAATGGAAGTCACGTCTGTCTTAACGTGATTCACAATCAACGTTATTGAATTTAAGCGATGGTCGACCCATGGGCAAATCAACAAAATAACCCGTTCAATGCAGCTGGCAGATGCCAGGCGCGTCGTAGCGTTAAATTATTTGTGTGGCAGCGCAAAGCCTGTTACGCGATAAGTGGTCCGACGTTCATCTACACCTTGCAATTTGTAACTTATTCTCTCAACGTGAGTTCCGAAAGTGAGCAAAGTTCGGATTAGGCTCTCCTGGGTAAAAAAAACAAACAAACAAAAACTCTTCGACTAATATTATTAACGTTTTCTCCGTGTACCAGGACAGAAACCGCGGAAAGTGCGAGGGGACGCGAGAGAGACATGAAATATTCCGGTACACTGATAAACAAAGCGTTCAAAATGCTTAGTACTTGTAGGTGTGCAACTACACGTTGATTTCTTGCAAGTATTCCACTCCGTAGTTCTGCACTTGCAAGTGTTCAACTCTGTACACTGAAATCCGTTTTGTGATACTTTTGCTCAATTTTTGCGATAACTGTGTTTTGCGATTCTCACGCTAATGTGCATGATAACACCAAAAGATGTGATAAAAGTATCATCACAAATCATCACCAAAAATGGAATAAAATAATTTGTGATGATTTTATCACAATAATGTGATACTTGTATCACATTTTTTGGAGTTATCATGCCCTTTAGCGTGGGAATCGCAAAACACCAGTTATAGCATGGTTTTGTGTTAAAAGTATCGCAAAATAAAACCAGACTAGTGTAGCTGTGCACTTGTGCACTCGGAAGTAACTCCTCTGGTGAACCACTTTCTTAGATTGGGCGCCTTGGGCGCTTACTGTGTGTTAGTGTAACACAAAATAGTTGTACACTTAAATGTACACAACTACTGAGTTGAACACTTTGTAAGTGTACTACTATGCACTTCACTGCTAGTTGTTGCGCACAAGGTTTATCAGTATAGTGGTCAGCAAACAGAGAGGTCGTGTGGGGACAACTTGCGGCCGCGCGCCGGTATCCGGGATTAAGAGTCGAATTGTCGACGTCGCTTGCGAGGTCGGTCTCCGCTCTTGATTGATGTTGGAGATCCCATTAGCCCTGTGTCTCCCCCTGTCTCGTTCTCGTCTTGTTTCCGCGTGTCACCGGTCACGGAAGAGACGCTTCTTTTACGCGAATATTCGTGCAAAGGATGTGCTTTTAATACTGGCAGAAGGCGATAAAGACGAGACCACGGCCCCTTCTCACCCCTTCTACTCTTCATAGCGCTCTTGGGGTGAAAAGAACCTACCCCTACCCCCAACACCTCGTCTTGTTAGCGTTCCCCCTTCTTGCATAACACGGGTCGTACTTTGCGATATTCTCGCATACATCGGTGCAAGTATACAAAGCGCGAATAGTTGTCGAAGATAGTTTTACCGCCAGACTGAAATCCATCATGATGTCTGGGGGGGAGCCCACTCCCAGGCCCACCAACCACCCACCACTCGCCCGGCACCTGTCTAACGTGCCACTAGAAAGCGTTCCCCCAACATCATTTGGTACCCTGGTACTTTATTTGGGCGTGACGCTGACGTAATGTGGCAGGCACCGCTGATCAGACCCCCTTATGGGCCATTTTTGGATGGCCGACTCTGTGTCAGTCGAGGTGTAAGTGGAAGATGCTATCCCTGGCAAAGATAATTTTCACACCACAGTTATTGTCCTGCAACTCGAACTGCCCAATGGGAGTGCTGAGAGTGCAAACTGCTTTTACTTCGTGGCAGGTCCTTCAGAAGCGGATCCGCTCGCGGATCACACAGAAAGTGCGTCCTTTTTTCTCATATTCATTCGGTAAATTACTGGATCTCAGCGCCTGCGAGAGTCGTGGTTGGCAACCCCGCGATACACGCGTGCGTTGAGGCAAGATGTCGCCTACCTACCACCAAGTGCAACGACGGCTTTCGCAGGGTTTAAGGGCGTTTCAAGTGCAAATAGTGGTCTGGGACTATACAACACAAACGCAATCGTGTGTGAGTGTGCCTGTGTGCGCGCGCGTAGGTGTCGATGTGTGTGTGAGGGGGGGGGGGGGGTGAATGTTTATACGAGAGTGTAGGTGTGCTCGTAGGTGTGTATATGGGTAGGTTGCCGGCGCACGCGTGCCTGTGTTGTGCTCGTGCGTTGGTTACCTGCGTGTGCCAGCTCGTGAAACACGATATACAACGAGGGGTAAAAACTCGTAGCAGCATTCGCGTCTGCGGCAGCAAGACGCACACACATAGCGGGACAATGGACATGATCGTATAACCAACTAACCGACAGGGGCGCGGGTGGAAGGCGGGGGGGTGGGGTGGAGGGTGCAGCACCCCCGCCCGCCGTTCCCTTCGGTAGGGGCGGCCGCCGTGCGCTCGGTGGGGGGCACCGGGAGCCCCCTCCAGCGCGACTCCAGCGCGGCGGGGCCCCGGAGCGGCCCGGGAGCCCCGTTCGCTCTCCAGTCGCCGGAGCCGCGCCACCCAGAGACAGTCGGCGCTCGTCGCGAGTGCACAGTGCGGAGCAGTGCGGAGCAGTGCGGACCGCGTTCACTGGGATACGACTCGACGACAACATGGCCGCGACCGCCAGGTGGGTACAGGGAATTGCTGGGGGCCGGACCTGGGGCGTGTGCTCCGCTCGGTGACCTCCCCGGGAACCGCTGTGCTGCGTCGCGAGACACTCCGCGTTGCCCCCGGAACACGCGTTGCACGGCGGTACAGGGCGCAGGACGCGGCGCAGGTCGCGGCGCAGGTCGCGGCGCAGGACGCGGCGCAGGACGCGGCGCAGGACGCTTGTTAATAAGAGGAATAGCCCGGGCCCGGGGTCGGCACTTTCGTCACCGGGCGGCTTTGGTCCCCGCCGATGATCGAATCCTCGCGTCGCCCGCCGGCCCGGCGTTGCGTGGAGGCCCGCTCAACTTGGGCCACTTGTGCCAGGCGGGGTGGAGCGGGGTGGGGCGCGGTTCCGACGCGCCGCCGCTGCTGCTGGAACCGGTTGGTGGCGGTGGCGAGACGCTTGGACGGACGTAAGGGGCTGGGTTTGGACCCGCTTATGGAACGGCGATGTTCGCGCGGTATTGCCACATCCACGTAAGCGGCAGAGGCAGAGGATGAGGACGCGGCGCGACTTCCGACATTGAGGGGCATGCCCCACGTGCACGAGACACTGCGGCTGTCGTGTGAAGTACCCAACTTGGCAGCTTGGGCACGTGGCGCCGTGACCGTGCAGGTGCAAGTGGGGAAGGGACTGTCGGTGTGAATAGTGCAAGCCGTGGCGTGCAAGCGTAGCGGCTGCTGGGCCCGGAGCTCACCTGGAGACTTCGACGCACGAGTGGGGCTAAGGGGTTCGGCGCTCCGGACCGACTGATGAGTTGGCGCGGGTGTGTGCGAGAGAGAGAGAGAGAGAGAGAGAGAGAGAGAGAGAGAGAATGAGTTAGTTTTGCCTTGTGAAAGTAGTGCCTGGGGTGCGCGGGGCTGTCAGCCTTGCGAGTATCTCTCTCTCCAGTCCACTTTCGTCCGGGCCGCCTTCCGATCTTTGTCCTGCTGCCCGCTGACCTGGCTTGTCTCCACCCCGCCCGCTCGGCCGGTGTACGTTGCACTTGTTTCTCTTTCATACTCCGCTCTCCCCTCCTCCCCGCCGCGACTCTCCCTCTCGCGTCGGCCGTGCCAACACACGCCAGCGGACTGTACCGGCCGGTCCGGGCGCCCCTTTGGCGCGGGCTGTACCGGACCAGGAGCCCGCCCCGCCCTGCCCGTCCTTGCCTTGGCAAGGCCCTGTCCTGTCCCGCCCGGGCTGCGCCCGGAGAGAGAAACTCGGCCCGGTGACCTGTTCGCAGTCAGCACCGCGACAACAACAAACGCAGCCAGCAACAGGCTTATACTTCTTTTTTGCCCACCCGTTTGCGTCCAAAAAGTCACTTCCACTTTTAGGGAAACTCTCCGGATGTGGCGCACCCCGCCGCCTGTCTCTGCTCACCCACCTCTCCCCCCGCTCTGCCAGCGCGTTGATGGGCGTTCCTTCCCCCGCGGGGGTTGGCAACAGCGAGAAGACCGCCTGTCGTGATTCACCCCGCAGTGCCACCGGCACCGGGGCGGGGGCGACCGTCCCGCGACCGCACTGCATCAGCCCCAAAGCCCTGCCGCCGGCGTGCAGGGCGGCGTGCACTGAGTCACCGACACGACCCCTCCGCACCTCGGCACTCAGCGCCCGCTACGCTCCAACGGTATCGGCTCGATTCGGCACTGCTTAGCTCGCCGCGCCGCGCCACGCCACGTCGCCACGCCACCTCGCCGCGCACGCGACACACCGGGTGTTTAACGGGACAATGGCTTGCATCACTATGACGGAGGTGCAGGCGGTCATGTGGGCGGGAAGTCATGGTCCTTCTGCGGTGCGGTCCCCCCGACTGCCGCGCCGCGCCACCGCCCGCCAAGTGACTCACGACACGAAGCTGTGCTTGCACGTGGAGTGGTGGGGCGTTGGGGGGCGGCGCGGCGCGGGGCGGGGCGTGGGGCTGGCGCCCGCACAGCAGATAAGACGCGCCCTGTGATGGAACAGTCATCTCCCTCCATAGGCCCCTTACGGACTCTGCAATCCTTTGCTGCTCCCGTGGTGCGCGTTGTGTTGCGCTGCTGGCGCCCGCTCCGTCGAGTGCGTAGCCAGCCTCGGCGCGTGGGTGGACG